ACTCAGCTGCTGTCAACCATTATTGCTCTGATAGCTTAAAGCCAGCATAGGTCTGGACTGCTGGGCCTCAGCTCATGCTAAATTAGTAATGAGCAAAGCAGGAGAGCAGGTCTGTGTTCTTATTTCAGCCCCTGACTCACCGTGACTGCAGGCAAACCACTTAGTGCACATTTGCCTTTGTTTCCTCCTGTGTAATGAGGATGACAGTAATTAAAATGCTGTAAAATTTGTGGACACAAAGACTTATAAATAATTTTCCACACTTGCTTGTGAAGTTGCAATGTAAGATTTAGAGTTTAAGATTATAACCTTGCAAGTAATAATATATTTTATAGATATTTTTGCCATAAATTTTAAAAATAGTTTCCAGCGTGCACTGACTTCTTTATTCTATGGTTTTAACTTGTAGTGACCAGGAAACCTTAGGGTCTGCTTTCAAGATGAGTAGAAAATGAATACTGAAGTGTTTGGCAGGACCTCTAACAGTCAGCAGGAAGCAAGAAAGTTGATCTCAGCAGTGTATTCTTGTATTGAAACAACTTACTCCCCTTTTAAAGGACACTTCGACTAATGGTTATCACAGGTATATTCACTTCTACCAGCTGTTATTTTGTTCAGTCAGATCAGGAAATATTGACTGTACTCTATCTGTTCTGTTTGTAAAAAGCTCAGCAGTGCTGAATGTACTGTGTGTGTACTGGAATGGTCAGTGGCAATGGAATAAAGCCTGACACAGAGCTTTTACACAAGGTATGTTTTCAGCAGATAGTTGTAGAGTTATATTCCGAATTTTTACACCTGAAGGATTCACAAGTAAATATCACTTAATATTTTATGATACCAGGGGAGAACATCCTGTATCAGAATTCTGTTTTGGAAAGTAATGGACACCGAGTGTTGTCCTAGAGAAAATGGAAGAAGTTGAATTAATTCTGGTGTGCATCACTGCCCCTTAAACCCAATATTGTAAAAACTCGTTAACATTACTGCAAAGCCATAATGCAAAACAAACAAAAACCCACAAAAGAAACATTTATTATGTGGACTGGCCATATTTCATGAAATAGAATTTGGGTTCTAAAAGCAGTGCAGTATCTTCTAAGAGATGTTTGATGTTAGCTTAAAAACTGTTGATTATACACTGAATCCACTTGAAAATTAGCACGGATGTTCTGGTTGGATACCCCCTATTTTTTTATTAGAGAAGTACTAAGTAAGTAAAACACGTGTCTAGTGTCCTACTGAGCTTTTGATAGTGATAGCTGGATTTTAGTTTCAATCTGTAATTTTTAATCTCCATATAAACAGTTCTGGTGCCGAAATGATAGTTGGTCTCTGAATGGCAGCTACTCTCTTTTGAAAAGCTGGGAAAGTGGGGATGTTAATGTTTATAGTCTGGGAAAAAAGGCTGCAGCTGAGAACTGCATCTCTCTTGTGCCCTCTCTTGTGAAAAGGGAAGACAACATAGCTGTAGCTGGAGACCCTGTGCATGTTTGGTGTCTTGTACTGAGCACCCTGGGAGCCTAAGACATAGGTCAGACAACAGAGATCTAAGATGAGGTATAACATGAACTAGAAAGAGAACAATTTGTAAGTTGAACCTTTGTATACAGATGTGTCAGTGTATGTTTTCCTTGAAGTTTGCACTGCTGTACTGATGTTGGTAGCTAGTGACAGGAAAGTAGGTCACAATTTGCTACTTAGACACCAGAAAATTAGCTTTGGCTGGATTGTATAGACATCTTCCCCAAAACCAGTGTGCCATGATGACAGGGTGAACAGTGGAAAAGGCTAAATATGTGTGACAGGAGGTAAGAGCCATCTTCTACGCTTGCTTTGTATGTCTGTGTTACTCTTGCAGACAGCTTACTTCGAGGCAAAAGGCTCAGTCTGCCATGTATAAACTTTAATTATTGTTTCTTATATGAAGAGCACAATGTGTGCCCTGAATTAGAATTATTTTTTTTTTTAAGATGAACAATTGAAGGTGATACTTGCAGAAAATCCCTGTGATAGAGAAATCAATAATATATCTTATTCTCCTGGTTTCAAAATCCCCCATGTGTAGCAAGGATGGCAGGCTATTGACAGTTAAAAGGTGCAGGTTTTAATCATTAAAATCATAGCTGTCATGGCGCTGTCTGCTTTAGAACTTGGAGAACTTCAGCTCATTCTGCTTACAGAGATCATATCTTGTTGTTTCAGAACTTCTGAAACGAGCCAATGTCTGTACCTCTTACTGCTTTCTCATTTCTTAGATACCTAGATATTCTAAAATCTACTTACATATTCTAAAATCAAGGTAGTTTATCTCAGTGTTACTATGGAGTTGCACAAAACACAGAGGCCTTGCAGTCTGTTGCCTGTTAGGTGTGCTGTGAAGTTGTAGTTGATGCAGCACGCATGAGCAATGTTCAGACAGTCTAGTATCTGTTCTGGGCTCACTAATGTGACTTGTCTTCCTTTGCCACATAAACCTGTCCTGCTTCTTTCCAGAGACAGTCAAGTGGAACCCAGCTCCTAACAGTGCCTTGGACTATGTGTAATAACTTGTTAACCTCTTACATAATGCAGGAAGGATGAAAAACTTAATAGAAGGTGAACACCCTTCCCTGTGACCTATTAACAACAATCTTCAGTTATTGGCTCTATGCCAGTTTCCAGGTTAAATTGCTTAGACACCTATGGGAGGATTCAGGCTTTATTTTGTGTTGTCTTGTTTTCTTTATATACATATTATATACATATTTATATATAGGCTAGTATATCAATCCCAAATGTATCTGTTGAACAGTCTGCTGAGTCTGTACCTTTGGATATTCTTGGAATAGCAGTGAATCTCCTTGTGCAAGGTAGTTTGTGGGACTTTGTTCTCTTGGTTAAACATGGTTGGTATTTGCAGGAAAAGGGCCATAGTCATAGCTTGAAGACTATTCCACCAGTGTAAGAATTGGTGGTTTCACTTTCTAGAGCATAAAGTAGCTGAGAAGAATTGGGGGGGGGGAGGGGGTTAGAAGGACATTTCTAGGCCAGGCTGTTCCAGTGCTTTTTTATCCTTCATGAACCTTTGGGCTTATTCTTTAGAGAGTGCTGTAAGTGGAAGTTCTCAGCAAAGGGATTACACTAAATGGTTCTGCTTTGACTTAACATGAGAATTACTTCTCTGTCTGCTCAAGAAGACGCATCAGTCAGTGTAAAACAGAACAGTGTTACATTCAGAATTATGCATTAGCCAAGCACAGTGAGATTTAAAAAAAAAAACAAAAAAAAACAACAGAACAGTTGTGTTTCGTGTTCATATGAGATAAAACATCATTGAATTACTACAAAATAGAGTCAGCTTTACCTTGCTATGAATTAGACAAGTCACCGTGTTAGTGTGGTCACTGATTGTGCTGCCTGCAGATTACACAGTCAATATTTATTATTATTATTCTGTATCACTGAATGCTTACGTCATGATTACAGGCAGCAGAGTTGTTTATCCCTGCCCTAACTTCCTGTGCCATGTTGGATGGAGCTGTACTAAAGTAGGGTATGTAACAACCCTGGTTTAGACAACATGTCCTGAATACATACAAATACTCCTTGTGGTGCCTCTTCTTTTACAAAGCATTGAAGTTTCAGAGGAAAAAAAGAGATGTATCATTTCCCCCAAAGGAAAAAAAAAACCCACAAAAAACAACCCCAACCAGACACCAGGAGATCCTGCAACAATGAAAACCAGCAAGAGTAATAATAGATGCTCAAGAAAAACAAGGCAGTTAGAAATCCCATCTCTGTGTGGAGGAACCCACCGCAATCACAGCTCATCTCTCAGATTCCTGTTACACACTGCAGTAACTCTCCAGAAGATCTAACTTGTCTTCGGGTTGCGGGAGGGCTGTCACAGCATGTTACACAGCATGATGGCAATTAGCTAACTCCTGAAATACCTTTGTCTCTCCAGCTGCAGTTGATGTGATCTTGACGGGTGTGGTGACTTGTTTGTACTGGCCACTTTGTAGCCATTCTTGCTTTTAAAAATAAGTTTTTCAGAAGGATTTAGGATATCCAGACAACTATTGTCTCTGAGGTTAGCTGAATTCAGACAGTTCGTATCTCTATTATCATTTCAATCCTTAGTTTTACCGTTTCAGACCATAGGATGTCCCAGGACAGGCCTGCTTCTCCAAATACTACTTTCACTCCTCATTAATGAATGAAATACATGAAAAGTGATTTGCTGGACATGAAGCCTATAAGGAATAGAACAAGATTTCCTAGGGGAAAAAAAAAACAACCAACCCAGCACTCCCTACCAATATATGGGATACTGAAACAAGCTGATTTAAGCCTTGCACCTGCTTTTGCTCCTACACCTGTGCTGCTGCAGAAGCGGCTGAGCCCTCACAGCCAGCACTGTGCAGCAGTATGCAGTAGCCCCAGCTTCTTGCAGAGGGCTCTCGCACGAGGAGAAGCGATGGATTACGGCCGTTTCTAACACCTGTGACACCGCTGCCCCGAGACGTCGCCTTCCCCACGTGCGGGTGAGATCGCCGCGCTTCTACCAACGAGAGTTCGTTGAAGACGCCGCTCGCATTGGGCTGCGTTTCCTATCTCAGCTCTTCTTACATTTAAAGCGCACACGGTGAGGGCTACCGCGGGGCACGGCCACGAGCAGAAGGAAGAGGCGCCGATACCGGAGAGACATCGCGGCGTACTTCAATTCTGCTGTTAAGCAAACCTGGAGATTCCCCTCGGGAGAACGGCCGCGCGGGAAGCCCGGCCCGCCGCAGCCCCGGGGCAATCTGCTCCCTTTTCCGCCATCCCCGGGGCGGCTCCCGCCTCTCGGCCGCCTGCGGCCTCCCCCCCCCCCCCCCCCCGCCTCTCCCCGGGCCGTCTCGGCTCTCCGCCCCGTCCCGGCATCCCCGGAGCGGCCCGGCCGCTTGCCGCAGCGCCGGCCCCGGGCACGGGGGATGCGGCGCACTGCGCATGAGCGCGAGGCGGCGGAAGGGCCCGCGAGGAGCCGGAGCCGCCGCCGCCGGAGGAAGACGTTGACCGCCGCCGCCGCCCTCAGCGCCCTCCCGAACGGCGAGGGAAGCAGCCCCGCACAGCCCTCACCATGGTGAGTGTCCTCCGAGCCCGCCTCTCGGCTCGGGGCCGGCGGACCGCGGCTGCGCCGCAGCGGTAGGGGCCGCCGGGGCCTGGTCGTGGCGGGCCGGCCGGCCGCCCGGGAGCCGCGCGGGGCCGGGCTGGGCCGCCCTCGGCGGGACCGCGG